AACATTATTTTATGATGTTGATACTTTATATAAATAAAACTCAGGCACTAACTTTTTGGTTTGAGATTTCAAAAACAGTGATGGAGATTGGTATGGGAAGAGAGTGAGAGAAAAAGATGCGTAATTATTTTTCCCATTATGAATGTGCATTCCTGACATCTCTGAGGACTAAGATTTTCCTGCAGGGAATATGATTAAAGTTACAAAGAGGAAAACAAAATAAGTAAGTCAGCTTTTGATCCTGCTGCTATATTTACCCACAAGAAAGGAGGCAGCTCTCAGGTGGGCTTTTGTCTAAGTAATGTCCTGAAATCCAAGTGTAAAAGAACAATGTGAAATCTCAATTCTCCCAAACGTTTTGGGGCTAGTTCAGCTCTTGATCCCCTGGGAGGTGGGGGGTGGTATCTTGGTTCCCAAGGAGACTAATCCTACTTGCTCAGCATTAGGCATCACTGGGGCGAAAGAGCTCCAGTTTGGAGCTCTGCAGAGAGCCCCTAGTGTAGACTGAATCTGACTCACTAAGATGCAGAGGAAGTGAAATGTATTGATGTCAAAGCTGCTCAAGTGAGCGCTCTCACTCAGAGTGTAGGAGGAGGGTCTGATGGGCCTCCTAGAAACACACCTGTGAGTTTGCAGAAACTGATTTTGTAGCAGCTAGAACTCTCCCCCAAAGGAAAGGAGATCAAGAAGCATGGGGTTAGGGAGCAGCTGTGATCATGAGGTAGAGTTTACAACTATAAATTGGTTAGATAGTGGAATCTCTATGGAAATCTTTGGGTCTCAGGTATAGAGTTAACTCAAACATTAGTTCTTTGTTGCCTTACTATCTGTACTTTCTCATATACATCCTTGCTTTCATATGGCCTTGCCTTTGCCCAGTCTGTTCCTTCTGCAGAGATACCTCTTGTTTACACTTGGAACAAGCAAATGCATCAATTTGGTCTTAGCTCAGATGCAGGCTTTCCTTACTCCTCTTGGTTGACTTAAGAGTCGTTATAGTCCATCAACCATTAAACCTTTAATTTACTTCCATTGACGCACATATCACATTATATTACAACCTTCTCTTTACCTGCCTGTTTCTCCATTCCAGACGATGGGGATCAGGGTTTCTTGTCTCTGTATCCCCAGTACCAGCAAAGTGTCAGTATCTGTGTTGATGTCAACGTATTTCAGTTGAATGAATAAGTGACTGGTTGTATATTTGTGTGTAAGGATAAATTCTATGATTGAGCCTAAAGAGGTTTTTGTTTTTGTTTTCTTTTTAGCTTTTATTGTAAATTGAGTTATAGCTTACAGGGCGGATCATCAGTTTTACACTCAACAGTCATATTTTGTTTCATTACGATGATTACATTCATCATCAGTTAACAGTATTTACCTCTATTCCTTCTTTTTTTTAATGTACATAAAATACACAGAATGATTTAAACTGAACATTTTGCAAGCCAAGGCTAAAGAGTTTGTAAACTGAGAATATATGCATATAGAGAGTTTGGGGTTGACAAGGAACTTCCATTACCATTACTTTACTGATTTAAGCAATAGTGGTGGTAGTTATGTGCCTGTGGAGTTGGTTCTGACTCATAGCAATCCTGTATAGGATTTCTGAGGCTACAAATCTTTAACAGGAGCAGAAATTTTCATCTTTCTCCTGTGGAACTGCTGGTAGTTTTGAAAACTGATGACCTTGAGATTAGCAGACTGACTCCAAACCACTGCACTATTATGATTTCCATTTTATAGATGTTAACTCTAAGGTCTACAGACTTATCTATAATCACTCAGAAAATAAAGTGCAAGATTGGACTAAAGTCTTGATCTCTGGCTCTAATGTCAGCATTTCCTCTACTATACTAGACTGTCTTTCTCTAAGTTTCTACAATCTACAAATATAGCTGTTCTATTATATTTGAAAATAATCAGTCACTCTGCTAGTGGAAAGCACTCTGAGGAGTTGGCATGTTCTTCATTGCAAAAATGAGAACAGTAAAGCTCAGAGTTTGCTATTTGGCTGTTATCTCATGTAATTCTCACAAAACCCTCAAGAATAGTTGTGACTATTCCCATTTTTGCAGATGAGGAAACTGAGACGTAAGAAGATGAAATGACTTATCCAAAGACACTCATCTAGCAAGGGGCAGGGTCAGAGTTTGAACCTGGCCCCATCTTAACTCCAAACCAACTCAGTGTTTGCTGCTATTGTTAAGTGCTGTTGAGTCGGTTCCAACTAATAGGGTTTCCAAAGAACAGCTGGTGGGTTTGAACTACTGACCTTGTGGTTGGAAGTCCAGTGCTTATCCTACAGTGTCATACCAGGACTCTCAATTATTTGGAAATAAAGGAAGACTTTCATATGTGAATGTTTTCACATTCCATTTATTCTGCATATGATTATGTTAAGATTTAGGTCCAACTCTCTGGGGATTAAGAGCGATCTAAAGACTAAAGATGTTTTAAAAAGTCTTGTGCTGTGTCTGAAGTCCTGGTGTGGCACTCTGGGTTAATGTGATGAGCTGCAAAGTTGGTTTGAACTGCAAGGTCAGCATTTCATGCTCATCAGCTGGTCCTCGGAAACCCTATACAGGGTCGCTATGGGAAGTAACTGACTTGACAGAACTTAATAACAACAACAACAATGCTGTGTCTGGTGTGTTACTGTGGGGTAAAGCACTGGACCAAAAGGTCAGGTTTGAACCACAAGGTTGCTGATTCAAACTCACCAACTGCTCCTTGGAAACCCTATACAGGGTCACTGTGAGTCAGAACTGACACTATGGCACCTAACAACAATGTTGTATCTGAGAACTTGTAAGAGATGCATAGTTGAAAGAGGAGAAAAAGAGAGTTCATGCTCTTGGTGCCAGATTCAGAGTTCTGTGGAACGTGTCTGTCTGAACAGGGAAAGGAATTGCTGACATTCACATCTGAGGAGTAAGAAACACAAATCAGTGACAGGTCCACACCAATTGTCTGCAAGGATGAAGTAAATATTCAGTGCCATCCAGGAAGACAAAAATCCTCTTTGTAACTCAAGTGAAAGGTACATGATACTTGAACCAACTGGAAATAAAAAATATAGAAGTGTGATTTAGCTGTGTTGGCTTGGTAAGCTGTTCCTTCATCTCCTAATGAAGGGTATTTATCTGGCCTTTCTTCTTTGGGTGAGGCTTTGCCATCAGGATGCTCAAAAATGGTTTTCCTACATCCTGAAAATTGAGGGTTAAAGAAAAAGTTTTGAAGGAGACCTGCAGTATTTCCTATACTCAGACTCTGCACCTAAGTTATTAAAAACTTATTTAGAGATCTTTATTATGCTCACAGTGTGTCATACATGATCTCATTTAATCCTCATGAACATCCTTTGAAAGACCCTCTTGATTGTCTCATGGCTGTTCTATAGTTTATGGTTTATAAACTATGGAACATTTTATAAACTATGGAACAGCCAACAGACAAGGATTTTCACAGACCATTTCCTTTAACTATTACAAGCGCCCTGTGAGGGAAAACATTACCTGCATTTAACATGAGTAAACCAAGGCAGAGAAAGGTCAGATGATTTGTCCTAAGCCACTATTTTAGCAGGAAAAGATTTCATATTAAATCACAGAGATATTGAGTGGTAGAGCTAAAACCAGGACCCAAGTCTTTTCTGAATCACCTTCCTTATTAAATTTCCTTGATCATTTTCTCCTATTTCAAGAGGACTGTCCAGGTGAAATCAGTCTAAATGAACTTCAAGATCATCCTGGAAATGTAACAGAAGTTACAAAAGGATTCCTTAAATGGCATGAGAAGAAAGGGAAAGGTTCCAATTCATATTTTGTTCTAATCTACTGAGATTTTTAGTGATGGTTCAGTATAAAATAAGGAGCTCTGGTAGCGTAGTGGTTACGAATCAGGCTGCGAACCTTAAGGTCAGCAGTTCGAAACTACCAGCTGCTCCGC